GCAGCAGCTGACTTGGGGACGCCTGGGTTCTTAAGTTGAATCTGTATGTAAGTCAGAACTGGCGTCCAGATTCAGCTGTTGTTGAAACTGATCAGTTTCAGCAGCGGCTGAATCTGGACGCCAGTTCCGACTTACATACAGATTCAACTTAAGAAGAAACCTACAGTCCCTATCTTGTACGTAACCCGGGGACTGCCTGTAATTTGTTATTTACACTGCAAAAAAAAAAAGAAAGTGTGTTTCAATTCCCCCGATTATAAGTACTGTAACAAAATCGCTATCATGGAAGTTTAACTTACAAATGAAGAATTATGTTCAAAATATAACTGCATTCAAAAATAAAATCATAAAACTTTAGAGCCTACAAATCCAGTCAATCCCATTTTTGTTCAGCCAATTGCTCAAACAAGTTTGTTTACGTTTCCAGGTGATGCCACCCACTTCTTGTTTACAATATCATCTAAAAGGTGAGAATAAGCATTCACATACCATCATCACAGCTGGAGTCATAAGATAATTACGCACCAGACAGGGATATGAACTACTAGTCACTTCCCCCACCTTGTTGCCTCTATCAGAAAGAGGCAGCGGGTGGAGAGGAACAGAGCGGGGGTAGACGGGGGTGCTTCAAAGCAGCAGCGCCGCATGGAGCTTGAGGCCAGACCCCGGGCTGCACGTGGCGCTGCCGCTTTTAAATGTGGTGTGCAGTCTGGGGTCCCCAGCCGGTCCCAGGCTACTCATGGCATTTCAAAGCAGCAGTGCCTCATGGAACCTGGGTTCACCTGGGGACTCCCTCACTGACCCCGAGCTCCATGCGGCCCTGCTGCTTTGAAGCACCACAGGGAGCACAAGGCAACAGAGAGTTGCTTATCGACTAATCAAATAGTCAATCAAAATTGCACCGACTATTTGATTAGTCACACAATCTAAATTTTAGATCCCTAGTACCAGACGCACTAGAGATTCATATGTCCCTTCATGCTTCGACCACCATTCCAGAGGACATGGATAATGATGGTTTCTGCTTGATTATGAACCAGAACAGTGCAGACCAATTCATGTTCATTTTTGTCATCTAAGTCACATGCCACGAGAAGAAGATTGATTTTCTTTTTTGGTGGTTCAGGTTTTGTAGTTCTCATGTCAGAGTGTTGTGTGGCTCTTAAGACATCTGAAATCATGCTCCACACCATGTCCCTCTCAAATTTTGGAAGGCACTTCAGATTTTTAATCTTTGGTATGAACGCTGCATCTGTCTTTAAAAACCTCACATTGGCACTTTCTTGGCATTTTGTCAAATTGGCAGTGAAAGTGCTCTTAAAGACAAACATTCTGGGGTCATCATCCAACACAACATATAACACAAATATGGCAGAACATGAATAAAGCAGGAGACATACAATTCTCCTATGAGTTCAGTCACAAATTTAAACAAACTATTTTCTTTAAAGAGAGTCATCAACATGGTAGCTTGTCATCTAAAATGGTGGCCAAAGCATGAAACCCTTGAATTAAGGGTGATCAATCAACAGCAGTACAATGAAGACTACATATTAAATTTAAGTACCTCTTGCTCTCACTCACAATTGTTACTTCGCCAAAAGCCACATTAACATCTCTTGGCTTTGGGAAATTTCTTCCCTTCTCCCCACTGCAGTCTGACTAAACACTGTCTCCATTTCTGAAGGCCTTCAATAGGCTTATTGGCCAGAGGAGGTACCTTAGGGGGACAGCTTCTATCAGAAATCTAAATATAATTTTCTCCCACCTCTTCCACTACCTCTCAATATGACAAGAAGCAGGGCAAATGGGAGGCTTCCAGCTCAATTTTAGTTGGCAACAGTTCCTGAGGCACCTTACTCCACAAAAAACAGAACCACCCTATTAATCAAAATTGTCAGTGTCCAAATAGCTAAGGGTACGTCTACACTAGCTCGTTAGTTCGAGCTAGGTAGGGTAATTAGGGCAAGCGGAGTTGCAAATGAAGCCTAGGATTTAAATATCCCGGGCTTCATTTGCATGTTCCTGGGCACCGCCATTTTTAAATCCCGCTTAGTCCGAACTCCGTGCTCGCGGCTACACGTGGCACGGAGTAGGTAGTTCAAATTAAAGATCCTAATTTGAACTACCAACTCCGTGCCGCGTGTAGCTGCGGGCACGGAGTTCGGACTAAGGGGGATTTAAAAATGGCGGCGCCCGGGAACTTGCAAATGAAGTCCGGGATATTTAAATCCCGGGCTTCATTTGCAACTCCGCTTGCCCTCATTACCCTACCTAGCTCGAACTAACGAGCTAGTGTAGACGTACCCAAAGAATCAGAAGAGGTTCATCAGACTGACACCAGCAGCAGAGAAAAAAAGATACGTTTCTAAGGCTAAGGGGCATTAATAGTATGTGGGAGAACAAAAAGACATGACTGGAAGTATGCATGGCTCCCAAGACTTCACTCTAAAGCACCTTACATAGGCAAACATTCTATCCATCCACTTGCTTTTTCAAGCCCATATGCTCCTATAACTCTCTATTTCTCCACAGAACATTAACTTTCAAGAGTTATTATAGGTGTTTGGTCCCATCTCCTCTGAGAAAAAAGGGGATTGGGCAAGAGTATTGCTATGGTGCAAAGGAAATCAGAGACTGACACGTGCCACAGAGTGCATCTGTTCTGAAAAACAACCAAGTCATTCACAGAGGAGATGTAGTCATAAGCTATAAGAAATCTGCTGTAGTAGAAAAGTTGTTACATGAACTTACTAAAGGTCATTGAACTACAATTTCTCTGATCAGCCACAGATGATTTGGCTCCTCCTAGTTCAATACAAACATCTTCCTATTTCCTCACAGATCATGTAGTATAAATGTGATTATTTATTACTACTTTTAATTTGCAGTAGGGATGTGAAAGGTTAACCAGTAAGCATCACCCTTAACATATGATGCTTACCAGTTCTGGTTAAACAGTGGGGGCAGGGCTGCTTCAGCTCTGCGAGGGGCCTGCCACAGTCAGTGCCCCCTGCCTACAAAGTGGGGGGTGGGGCGCTACTCCACTGCAGCGGAGTTGGAGCAGCCCTTCCACCTCCCTCCTTAATCAGTTTAGCCATTGTTTAAACCATTAACCAATTAAACAGGATTTTACATCCCTAATTTGCAGCACCTCATGATTTAAAGAAACTAACCCATTTAATATTTTTCATCCAAAATACCAAAAAGGCACCAGCTACCCACAAACTTTAAGTATCTTTACAGTTGCAATCTAAAAATTTACTAAAAATTTTTTTTTTTTTTGAGAGAGAGAAAAGGGCTGGTTCAAGAAGCTGAACTCTATTCCCAGCCTGAACAAATTAAATCAAGATTTCTAAAACTTTTACAACACAATGAAACGTTTTTTCCCTTGCCTCCAGTTCTAGAGAAGGGAATGGATGAAAGCAGAAGAGATACTATCTGGGGATTAGCATTTGTACCATCTCATGTATAAACAATCCATACTGTACTGTGCATTAAGTATTATGTATATTTATATTTTTATTTGTTAATTATGTAACAAATGTTACCGCTAGAGATAGGTATGGTAAATCAAGCTGAAACAGGGCAGTCTCCATGGACAATGCTTCCATGACTGCAATTGCAATCTACTCCATTTTACATAAAGTGCAATCCTCTGGCTCTTAATAAGTTGTTCACGTGGTAGGTAGCTATGCAATGTTAAATTGTAAAACCCTATAAATTGTAGCAGAGATCCTTAAAGCAAGGACAAACAGGTTTTTTGTGGAAAAATATAACAAAAACAATCTTATGGCCCATAAAATATATAACTTGTCAAAAGCAACTATTGTTTACAATTAATATTTCACTAGTAAAATAAAGTAACTATCCAAAAAGTCAACTTACCTTTCTATTGTAGGGATTGCTAATTACCAGGTTGGTATCATCTGAACCCGATAAAATATATTCTCCTGTATCATTCCAGCAAATTGTATTCACCTGTTTGAAACATTTAAGCAGAAATGTTAATCTGTTTAGGAGGAGGAAAGGTAACAAAAGGAGTAATACAAAAAAGTAGTTAATAAAAGAACAGGCAAAAAAATATTTTGTTGAAGGCTAGGCAAAAAGAACACAGAAAACAATAGCGATGACCCTAATACTGGCACCCCACATCAACACCGCAAGACAACTTCAGATATTCCTTTTGGATGATGATGTGACCACACTGGTTTATCCAACCATCAGTTCCAAGCTAGACAAACAATGTTTTTTTGTCAGGAGCCCAGTTAATTTCATGAGGAAGCCACTTAATTATGATGACCTGAAAGAACATATGCTGGTGCAACTTCTCTTGGCTTCTCAATCCCTACTAAATACACTTCTTAATTTTGCTACCAATGATTTGCAACGTAAAGGCCATTAATGCAACAGACCCATATTATAATCAGAGGCAATTATTTCTTCCAGCAGTTGTGATTAACTACCACACTGTATTTATCAATGCCCTGAGGGAAAATCTTCTCAACAGCTGGCCCAAATCTCTAGATCACCCTAACAGAGTCCTACCTTTTTATCTTCACAGTCTACTCTGTAAGACTAATTCCCAAAAGGAGAAGTTCAGAAGACACTAACCTATCACTTAGGATAGCTACACACTACAGAAGGGTGAAATCTGTTTGCTCTTCTGGACCATTCCACCCATCACCTCTATAATAGGCTGTTTAGAAATACTGAAGCTCCCCAAGGAATGAAAGGGGAGAAGAAGAGTATCGTTAATCTAAGACAGGTTGGGCAATAATTTTTGATGGAGGATCACTCCAAGATTTTGGAAACTGGTCAAGGGCCACACTCTTACATGATATTAATGGAAGAGGTGCGAGGTCTGAGATGGAGGCTGGGTACAGAAAGAAGCTTGGGGTAAGGGACTGGAGTGCAGGAGGGAGAGTGGGATCTGGGAAGGCATTTGGGTGAAGGAGGCAGTTGTGACCAAGGGCAGGGAATGGGGGTGCAGTGGTTTGGTTTGTGACCTAGGGGAGGGGACTGGGATGCAGAAGTTTGGGTTGTGACCCTGTTAGGAGGGGATTGTGATCTGAATCAGGGGATTGAAGTGCCAAATCTGGGAAGGGGTGGCTGCAAGAGAGGGGAAGAGGGTTTGGATATGTTGAATAAGGGGGGCAAAGAGTTGGGGAAGGGGAGAGAGAGGGTGCCAGAGGCAGGCTCTGCCCAGGAGACTTACCAGCCAGCAGCCCAACCAGCCTGCTAAGCTAAATGCTTGCAGAGCCTGCCTGCCATATGCCTGCACAGGCTGCAGGGCCATGTGCTTGTATGAATAACTGAGCCGGAGGTAAGGAGGTGTGTGATGCTTTGTGTGCTGCCTGTTATTTGAACAGGCAGTTCCCATTGGCTGGTTTCTGGCCAGAAACTGGCCAATGGGATTGTGCTGGGGGCAGAGCCTGAAGCCTTGTGCCCTTCCCCTCTGGGATTACAGTTTTGAAAAAGAAATGGCTCTGAAGTCGCTTTTCTGAGCAGTGTTCAGGGCAAGCAGGGGAACCTGCCTAGAACTCCCCACTGTGTCCACAGGCTAGATCTTTTGGCTTGGTGAGCCAAATGCGTATTTTGCCCAGGCCTGTTCTAAGAAGCAGAATTAAAACCCTAGTCCTCCTAACACTAAATCATTAGCTACACTAGTTTAAGTTCTCAACTAAGGTATAAATCAGGTGAATTTCCTGGAGAGGAAAAAATAAGTATAGTACACAACACATATCCCTCTATATTATCATAATAAGTTTCTGTGCTAATGTGCATAAAGGAAAGAAGATTATCACTCCAGATGACCTCCTTTCCTCTAATTTAAAACACAGCATTTCCTCAGGCTATTGGGTCCCATTTGGATACAAACGATTTACCAGCAGACTACAGCTCTCTTCCTTAAAAAAATGTTCATACTGATAAAAATGAAAAAAATAACACTAAGATGGTGTAAAAATTGTCACCTAAGGATGTATTTCCTTTTTCATCATGTTAGGTAATGCAGAGATCCCATTTTCAACACATGCACCTTTAGCATTAGTCATAATCTGACTGATTCATTCAGTGATTTCACAAATACTGAAAGTGCTGATCCTTTAAAACAAGTTGATGAAAGAAGGTAGACAACACAGGAGAGAAGTGAAAAATAACTGTACAGGCAGTGCCCGAGTTACGCGGATCCGACTTATGTCGGATCCGCAGTTACTAATGGGGCTTCTCTCGCCCCGGAGGACGGGAGCGGCGGGACGCCCAGATGCGCCACGGTCCCGCCGCCCGCGTCCTCCGGGGTGAGAAAAGCTGCTCCGGGTCTCCCTGGTGTGCTGTGGGGGACTCCCCAGCACAGCAGGGAGACCCGAGCAAAGCCGCACAGGCGG